GAGTTGGTCCAGAAATCTTTGAATCAAACCAAAACCAAACACAGCCCTAATGGCATGAGTTTCATGGTAATGTCCTGGCCAGCTTTCTTTTCTACAGACTGAAAGTTGAGTTTGCAAGAGGTGGGTTCTTTGAGGCAATGTAGGGACTACTCTGCCAATCGGAAGGAAGACCTTCCTTTTCCTAACTATCTCTCTTCTACTTTCGTGCCATCTCTTTTTTTCTGTCCGCCTCTCTCTCTCTCTCTCTAATTTCCTCATATGAGAGTCAAGCATGTAATACTTGGTTTTCTGGGTCTGGCTTACTTCTCTTAACATCATATTCTCCAGTCCCATCTATTTTCCTGTAAATGGCTGAATTTCATTCTTCTTTATGGCTCCATTGAATGTAAATGCCACATTTTTTTATATGCACCATCTACTGTCCATCACCTAGGCTGTTACCACACCTTGACAGTCCAGTAACAGACATGGGCATGCAGGTACATGATTTCTTCAGAACAGGAATGGATCTGTAGTTTTAAAGAAGCTATGTTAGAAAATGTGGACATAGACAAGATGAGAAAAATATTGGTGGTGGGGTGGGGGAACCTCATTTCCAGCAAAAAGCTATGCTCCATGAAATAATTCAAGGAATTATTTTCATGTAATCCACATGAGAGAAAGGGCCTTTTTAGGTTGAAGTGGAGCATGAAGATGTTCCTGTAATCTTGGACTCTGAGAAGCCACATCCTTGCTGGGATCCCTGCCTTCCTCCTTGCTTCCAGTTTCATTTCCTTGCTCATCCAACCTGTATACGTCGCAGATTTTGTTTATTAAAAACCAAACCTTAGTTTTTATTCATTTGACATGTCCAGCCTATTATGTGCTGGACACTTAGGGTACTGAGCATGTTTTCCTTGAAAACCTCTTCATTTCCCTCTGTTCTGGGTTAAGGTCAAAGTTCCCTTTCAGCTACAGCTCGCACCACAACAGACACAGGCCAGGGTGACTCCTGAGTCCCTGCCACTGACTGTCCAAGCCCTTCAGGCCTCTGTGCCTTTGTTCACAGATCTTCCTTTGTCTGCAGGGTGCCTCTTCCTCCTCCCTATCAGGGAGAAACCCCACTGTATCACTCAAGGCTAGTCCACATGTCAGTCTTCTGGGATGCCTTTTCATCCAGGCTGTGTCAATGACCTTCCTCCAGTGCCCCATAGTCCATCATCAGCCTCTCTGTTTTCCTCTGCCTCAGTCCTCTGCAGAACATGAGGCCCTGGAAGGCAGACCCTGGGTCTTACTCATCTCTGAATCTGCAATCCTTAGTACAAGAGATTCTGAAGTCTTCTCATACCACAAGTGATAAATATATACATTTCTATTTGTCAATTAAAAGTAATTAATCCCCCCAAATTTTTGAAGAATGAATGAATGAAAGACGAACATTAGTCAAAACAGTGGAATACGCTTCTTTTTGGTGTCTTGACTTGCACATGGAGTAGCCGCTGACCTGATGGAGTTTGAAGAGAGGGCTTCCTGATCTCCTAGATATCTCTCTAACTTCCCTCCGATTCTTCTCTCATTGATGGAAGTCAATGGCCTTTATTTTGCTATTTGGAAGAAGATTTTGTGCACAGAGTTCTTTACCACTTTCAACTCACATAATGCAGACAAAGTATTTAACCCCTCTGTGCCTCGGTTACCTTATAGAGTGACTCTAATATAAAAGTCAGAAGTCAGTTGTAGGGATTAGATAGTATCATGTATAGGGTGCAGCTCTTTGTAAAGGGAATGCATATTATTTTGTATTTTTGTATTTTTTTAGTGACTAGTAGCATGCCTGACATCTAGCCGACATAGTTTGGATGTCACATATTGCACCTGAGTACACCTGCAAGCCAGTTTTAGGATTGACCCAGGACAAGGTTTGCAAGCAGAGCCCTTAGCCATTTTCCCCTTACCCATCAAGTATTACATGCTTCACATTCTGAGTCTTCACTTCTCTCAGATGAACATTTTTTTCCTTTTCCTATTATTGTACACACCTTTTTTTTTTTTCTTTTGAGTACTCATTGATGAGTACTGTTGGATACAGGTAGCTTGGTGATTCTTCTCTCAAGGCCTCTGATGACAACACAAACTAGAATGGAACATGGCCAAACAGGCTTCCCAAAGCACAGTAGTGCACAAAGTTTTTCCACTGGGCTTTGGGGAGGGGCCATGTTGGGGGTCTCACCACCTGCCACCTTCCCCTGACCTGAGGCCACATCTGGTTCTGTGCTTTCTTTCCCCTCCACAGGTTGTCCCACCACTCCTCAGACCCATAGGATTCATTTATTTTTCATGTTTATTTGATTTTTGAGAAATTGTCCCTCCTTTCCAGAGCTACAGGGGCAGGAGGGAGTAAATTTTCATTTTAGGAATGAAAAATTAGTATTCAGGGATAACATTGGGATGGAGAGAGGTCAGAGCCTAACCTTCCATGTGAGCCCTTGGACACCACAGAAAGGATCCTACATGAAACCAGTCACGCGGTTCTGGGCATGTGCCATCCTGCCCAGACCCCCTGCTGGCCAATGGTCTCTCAAAACCAATTTCTTTGAAATATATCTCAGGTTGATGGTAATTAGCAGCACCCCCACCCCACTCCCCAACTATAGCTGACTAGTTACTTTGAAGAAGGCGTCTCCAGAAAGAAGGGAATCTACAAAAAATGGAAATAGATAGTAGTCGGTGGCAGGGTGTGTTGGCGTTTTGATGGTTTGGATCTGTGACTAAACAGGGTGTAGGTGTGGTTGATTCCTTGGTGTGATGTTTAATTTTACATGTCAACTTGAAGGAGCTACAGGGTACCCAGATATTTGATCAAACAGTAGTCTGGGTGTCTCTGTAGGGGCATTTTTGGATGAGACTGATACTTAAGTAGGTAGACTTTGATTGTCCTCCTTATTATGGTCAGGATGAAGGTCTGAATAGAACAAAAGAGCTAGCCTTACCTCAAGTAAGAAAGGATTCCTCCTAACTGCCTTCAAATTGAAACACTGGCTTTATCCTGCCTTTGGACTTGAACTGAAATTTTATCTCTTCCTGGGTGTTGAGTCTGCTGACCTGTGAGTTACAGCTCTGCTCTCAGGCCTTGAGACTTGGCCTGGAGCTACACCATTGGTTCTCCTGGGTCTTGCCAACCTCTGTAGTTGCATGAGCCAATTCCTTATATCTAACCTCTTTCTTTCTCTCTATATTCTATTGGTTCTGTTGCCCTGGAGAATCCAGACTAATTACCCTGGTCTTTCTGCACAGCCCTGAGAGTAGCCTGGGATCTTGTGATTAGTTAAATGATCAATAAAGACATAGACTTCACAGAGAAGTTTCTCTGTCAGCCGGTGTGGCCCTAAAGGTGCCTGGTTACTGACTGCTGTCTTGTGTTTCCAGTTTGGCAGGATTAGAATTTCTGGTACTCAAGCATGGCCTGACCCTGAGTCAGATCTTGCCCTGTGTTTTCCAGGAAGGGATTTTCTAGGCCATTAGGGACTCTGGTCAAAGTGATAGGGAGGGTCTCTATATAAGGATCCTGGAAATACAACACTGGTGTTAGAATAACTTAGCAGGAATCCAACCTGATTTTCTGAAGTATGGTTTTGCCCCAGTTATACTTCTTGGCATGTGTTTCCTAAACAGCAATAAAATACTGTTTATGTTTATTTAAAAAATATTTATTTTTTAGTTATAGGTGGACACAGTATCTTTATTTTATCTTATGTAAGGATCAAACCCAGTGCCTCCCACATGCTAGGTGAGCATCTACCTCTGAGCCATAACCCCAGCCCCAGTTTATGGGAATTTTAAATGTGGGAGGTACAGAAACTTTTCTTGACTGCTCCTGGCCTGGGACTTTGTGTGGAAACATGCACTCTCTGGGTGCCTTTTCACTGAATCATGATGATCAATTTCTAGAATGTGCCTAGGGCAGAACGAAGACCAGTGGAATAGCTCCCAATTTCTACTTCAAGTCAAAGGGTGACCCAGGAAAGCCACTCATTGCTCTTGGCTTCCCACGTCCAAGTGGTCCTAAAGCCAGCAGACTCCATTAAACCTGGAAGCTAGATTTAGACTCTAGCCCCAGACATGCTGTATCAAAATGCACATCTTTGACAAATACTGGTGTGAAGGAAGAAGCACAGAGTTTGGGGGTTGTTGTGTTGTTGTTCTGGGCACCATCTATGTGACTTTGGTCATGTTACAGAAACTCTGAGCCTCAATTTCTCTACCTAAAAACTAGGGATAAAAATATCTATCTACTGAACTGATGGGGTTTTTGTGAGAATGAAATTCATTTAAAATTTCATAAGCATGTTTTGAATTACTTGGACATACCTGGCCCCATAGAGATACTGCAGGGTAAAAAGATGACTGGGACATGGTTCCTGTGCTCAGGAATTCAGCCTCTAGTACAGTGAGAAAATATGTATGAATGCAGTTTGTAGCTGCAAAAGGCTACCGAAATGTTAGCTATTATTAGCATTAATGCAGATAATAAGACCAGCTCTACTTATGCTGCATGGTTATCATTAAATTCAAGTGAGATAAAGCATGTCAAAGCCATTTAAAAAGCTGAAAAGTACTGACGTAAGAACTTATTATTAGTATTATTATTGCCATCATTGAGTGAATGATAATTAAGTTTAGTAGGGGAAAACCTAGATTTTAATTATAGGCCACAGAGGATCCTGGAGTTTAAATACCAAACTTGGGACTCTTGAGTAGAACCCACAGGTATTCTCACCTGTTTTTGATTCTGCAGGGGAGCGGCATTGACAATTCACAGGCTGTTAATACTTCTTCCATTTCAGACTATCTGATCCTAGAAGCAGGGGTTTCTTTGCAGTTTATTGGCGACCCACTGAAATGCATCCACCTGTGAGGTGGAATGTGCTATCTGATGGGCAGCCTGTCAATAGTACTACCCTACAGATTAGGATGTGGTCAGGTGGAAAAAGAACAGGTGGATTATGCTCTGTGAAGTCCTCCGTCGGGTGCATGCTCTGGGGCAGACTTCTGCTCTGGGCAGTGCTGTCCACGGAGCCAAAGTCATGGTGCTGAAACCTGAAAGCTCAGAGCAGGCAAAGGAGCTTGGAAATCATCTGAATTTACTCTCTTTTGCAGACACTATGTCTGAGAGTCAATGTGTTGTCCATCTCTTCCTCCAGACCACGCTGCAAACTGATCAAGGTAATGGAAACAGTGGAACTCGAATACTCGGCTCTCCTGACTCCCAGTCAGTGCCTTCTCAATACGCAGTGATGCGTGAGGTTGTTTCTGGCTTTGAGTTAACTTCCGGGCTGGAAGACAGTTCCCACAACGGCTGGGATCTGGATCTGTCTACTCTTTTTTCATGGAGCGGGTGGATATGGTCACTGCCCTTCTTTCTCCCTAGCAGTAGCTCTCTCCCCACCCTGCTTGTGACATGGTCAGTGTAAATTTTAATGTGCTAGATGGCCAGCCATCCCCCTCCCTAACAGGCCTCGCATGCTGCATATTCTTTTGTTACATACCTTGATCTGCTTTGATTTTGAGATAACCATATATGTGTGTCTGCCTTTTGGCTAGATTATAAGGCTCTGGGGCTCTGGAGGGGTTAGCTCCATTGTTGAAATCCAGCTTTGTCCCTTGGTAGATCCTTCTGGATCTTGGACAAGTCACTTTGACATTCTAATTTTTTTTAATATACACTTTGAGATAAAAGCACCCCTAGCTTACATATGGTGAAAGTAATAGACGCATGTGAAGTTGGGATCCACTTTTCCCATCCAGTCCTACTGCTAACTCCATTCTGTGGCTCTCAGGTGCGGGCCACCATCTCCTAACCAGAGGGGCCACCATCTCCTAACCAGAGCCAGGCTCCTTACCTCCCGTGTGACCCTCATCCAAGTGTGCTTTCAAGACAAAGAAGACCTGAGGTCCCAGGGAGGTAGAGCTTTATGTCATTCACAGGGTCACCTTCTGGCCCCTTTCCAGGAGGCTGTCTCACAGATCACCAGCTGTCCTTTCTGTTCACCTTCTGTCCCTGCTCTGTAGCTCAGCTCTGCCATCACCCATTCTTTCACTTCCTAGCTCACTCCCATTTTGTTTGAAGGATGGTAATGAATTCTTTCAGGAGAAAAATCTTTCCTGCTTCCCTTTGTGCTGATTAATGTTTGTTGGATTGAGACTAACTGGATGATACCTGATGTGGGACTTTTACCTAGGCCTTGGTTTCTTATGCACAGGCATATTATACTACTTCCTGTCCCGAAGCTCACAACAGGAAGTGACCTCCTTCCTGATCCTTTGTTTCCCATGCAGCCCACCTAGACTGGATGCAGCTTCAGGAAGGCCTGCCTTGCGTTGCTCCAGCTTGCAAAGCCCCTTCGCATCCAGTGGAGATGAACTGAGTTAGATTACTGATTCTTGAAATTCATGGTGGCTTTTAATTAAATGGGGAGTTTCCCTTTTGCAGAAGACATCAGATTCCTCTGAGAGCATCTCAGCTTGTTTTCTAGGAAAATACGTTTCTAACATATGTGGGGTAGAAACTGAGTAGAAATTGATCCTTCAGAGCCTGGTGCCCTGGTTTCTAAAGGAGAAAGATGCTTTGAAGAACAGAGACAAAAGTCTTTGGAGCTGGGAAGTCAGGGAGAAAGGAGGTAAAGAATGGGGAGAGAAGGACCCAGGAGACAGGAGTGAGCATGATGACAGGATGTTGTGCCCTTGGTGTTATGGACTTTCACCCTAGCACCACGATTTCTCCCAAAGAATGGAGGAGCCCCGTGTACCTGGCTCTCTTGAGGATATGGTGAAAAACTGCTTCTGCCCGTGGGTGGTGGAAGGCTAGTCCAGAGATTGCACATCTCTGTGATTTCACAGAGTCTGGATGGAAGAGGAACGTAGGAAACCAACTCTGGACTTCCCCAAACCTTTACAATTCAAGTCTGATGCAATGTGTGTGGAGGGCAGTAATTCAAGGAAATTAAGTCAAGAATGCAAGGGGCAGAAGGCCCCCAACTGACCTCTGGGTTAGACTCAAGTGGAGCCTGGCACAGAGTCATGCATTTAAAATAATATCCTGCCAGGATTTTTGTTTCCTCAGAAAGGGATATGGCAAAATTTCAAAGGGAAACTGTTGATATCAGGAGGCCACTTGGGGTCACCTCATGCAAACTCCCATCTAGCGTGGGCATTAAGTGAACTTTAGGAACTTGGGGTCCTGCTCTTATTCTCCCCACTCTGCCTTCTCTCTCAATATATACCAGTGGAAGCTTCCTCCAGTGACTTGGCATCTTCCAAATGCCACTTCCCCTTCCACTGAGATCCATGGAGCCAGATTGGCAGATCCTACAACCTGAGACGGGGTCACTGGAGCACAGGGGCCAGCCATGCTCAGCTTTCTCAGCTGCCTCATCAGGAAGAGGAGACTACCAACTAGAAACCTGTGAATTCTTGGAGAATGAACAAGTTGGTTTTCTGCAGTTTCCCCACATGATTCCTTTCCCAAGTCCCCAGGCAGCCTTCTTGTCTCCCTGCAAGGCTGCAGCCAGAAGCAATTACAGTGGCAATACAAGCCCGGAAGATGGGGACCGATATTTTTCAATATGACCGACCCACAGCTGTTCATATATTTGGTTTCTTTAACATTCTTTCCACTGGCCTTAACCAAAGAAGGAGTTTCTTAAAGTATAACATGGTATACATTAAAATTAATAGTTAAAGTTCTTAAATTAAAGAATGACCTTACATAATTCTTGGGTTAACAAAATCACGACTGCAATAATAAACTACTTGGAAAATAACCAACAGTGAGAATATTGCGTATCAAACTCATGCCAATGTTGTTCTCACGGGAAATGTCGCTGCTCTGAATGCATTCAGAAATAAACAATAAAAATTGAAAAGAATTAAACTGAGAAGTGTTAAGAAGTCAGAATAAAACAGAACTATGGAAAGCAAGAATTTTTTCAAAGATTTATTTTTTCCTCCTGTCTAACCAAAACCGTGTATCCCTTGACAAATATCTCCCCACCCCCACCCCTCATAACCATCCTTCTGCTCTCTGCTTCTGAGCTCAGTTGTTTCAGATTCCATACATAAGTGAGAATATGCAGTATTTTTCAGTTCCTGGTTAATTCACTTAGCATAATGTTCTCCAGATTCATGCAGGATGTGGATGACAGAATTTCCCTCTTTTAAAGAGAGGAATAGTATTCCGTCATATGTCTATACACCACATATTTGGCATCCATTCTTCTGTTGATGGAAGGTAGACATTTTTGAAAGTCAGTATCATGTTAAAATATCTGAAGTTATTTTAATGTAATATTATATGTTCTGTGTAATATTAAAACAATGGAGTAATATTTCTAATAGTTCTTTTAATATAATCAGATAGACCAAACTATAATTCACAGAGGTAGCATAAATGCAAATATTAGATATAAATTTAAATTGCCATAGAAAAAGAGGCAATTTAAAGAGCAAAAGTAATGTTATGGACAACGTGATGTTAGTAATCCTAAAAATGCTTCGTAAATGAATGACTTCTTCATACATATAGATCACCAAGTTGACCCCAAAGTAGCATAAAACCACAGGAAAAAAGGCTCAAAGGACTACTTCTAAAACAAAGATTCTGGTATGTATCATTTACTATGTCTTTCTCTTAAGCCTCTAAAGAAACCCAGAAATCACAAAAGGAAAATCAACAGATTTCATTATATAAAACTTTAAAAATTATGATGACACAAGATATAAATTTCAAAGGCAAATGAAAAATGGAGAAGAAATATGTGCAAACGCATATTTAAAAAGAGGTAATATTCTTTGGGTGCCAAGTTCTTAGAGATGAATAAGAAAAAAAATCATATTTATCACATAGATTTAAGTTTATTATATGAATTTATCACATGAAACATGTTGTTTTATAATACCAAACCTTCTGGAATGGTTTGGATGTTTGGGGGAGGGGATGACTATAAAAATTGCAAAGGTAGTAATGTTGGGAGTCCACCTGGCTTGAAAGACTAACTTCCCCATCCCCCAAGAAGAGCCTTCAAATGGTGAGCTCTGCTGGCTCACATGATCCTTACCCACCAATCAGACTAGCCCTGCTGGCTCACATGATCCTTACCCACCAATCAGAAAGCACCCCAGCCAACTGTCAGTCCGTTCAACATTAAACTGTTATAACTGTCAAACCACTCCCCCTATAAATATGCAGAGCTGTTCCTCAATAAAGGAGGAGCCTTGATTGTTCTTTTAAGTAATACTCAGTGGATCTCAGGCACAAACCTTGGACCCCTCTTCATTCTGCAGTCATGTACTCTGCACACCCAATCCATGAACGTGTGCTGTGGGCTCAGCCTCAGGTAAGATTCAGAATCTGGACGCACTTCTCCACCTGCGCAGCTACTCTCTGGTCCAAGCCCCAGCGTCTCTGCCCACACACCATTGACCCCTGCCGGTGCCCCTGACTCCTCCCTCTCCTCCTCCGTGTGTTGTGTGAAGAGATGCTGGAGTGAGGGGTTTAAGGTGCAACACGGGTGCCTTCCTCTGGCTCACAACTCCTGGTCTCTGTCTCCCCCTTGACTTCCCGTGGTATCTAAGGTCCCGACCTAGGCTTCCAAGATGTTCCTAGATCCAGGACCTGACCATTGCCACTACCTCATTATCTGCTATTTCTCCTCTTTCTCTGCCAACACCAGCTTCTTGCTGTTCCTTGGAGACGTACCAAGGCCTTTGAACTTGATGCTCCGTCTGTTTGCCACGTGTCTTCCTCGGCACACGTTTCTCTTTCATTTCCTTCACAGTTTGGTTCAATTTTTGTCCTTCTCAGACCAACCTATTTAAAATAACAACTCCAGTCTGATCCTACCTCCAATGGTGACCCATTCTGAGGAAACAAGTCCCAGCATGGTGTGGAGGCGTGGCTCAGATCATTGCTGGACTCTCTGAATGTCTCGCGAAGGTGGGTGACAGTGGTATCCCCCACCCCGATTTAATTGCTCAAGTGCCAAATGCTTACCTCAGTGCCTCGTTTCATGGTCACCAAAACTCTTCTTGTTAGTATTCGCCATGTGCCGACCATGAATCTGAGGATGAGAGGTGGGGGAGCCAGGATGTGCACCCTCCCAGGGAGGTGCAGCCCCAGGCTGCACCGCCTCCCAGGACAAGAAGGTTTCTTTGCTTCTCACTGGGCACCAGCTCACAAAGTGCAGCAGCTGTCTCTAATCTCATGTTTCACTTTCTCTAAACTTCTTCCTAGAAGTCAGCCCCTGCTGGCTGCTTGCTCTCCTATCTGTCCCGGGTCTCTTTGTCCCTGACCACCTCCAGTATAAAAACCAGTCTGGCATTCATGGCTTCTCCAGCTCTATGCCTAGACACCTTGTCCTCATTTGTACAAAAAAAGCCCAAAGGTAGCTTGAGTCATGCCACGCTCTCCTGTGCAGGAAGACACCTCTCTTTACACCTTATTTTCAAGCAAATAAGAGATGCCTCTGCAATATTTCAATACTGAGCACACACTTCCAGAGCCACTCCAAGTGCAAATTGAATTTATAAAGTGTGCTGCCCTTTCCATTCATTGGGCCACACAAGGCAATTGGTAGGTGGGGTAGAAGCATGGTCTTTCGCAAATCACCACTTTGTTTCCTTCTCTTAAAATGGGGAAATATGGTTACATTTCAAGGTTATTGTAGGGGTCCAATTATAATATCTATGAATACCTGGCATGTGGTTGACACTCATTACATGAGTTGATTTTGAATCAGACACTGAAGACAGAATATGTAACTTTCCTCATTCTTGCAAGGGTGACTCATTGTACTGGCCTTGAGGAAGTCACTGGAAAAGAAATCTACATTTCACATCAAAGGAAATGGTTGGATCAAGGTTATATTGCATATTAAAGGAAAAAAAAACTAGCAAACAAGCAAAACATAGGCAAGCATGCTTAGAAGGCTTCTGTGTGTAATTTCTAGGTCTGATGTTTCTAAAGGTGATTGAGCACTGGGTAACAGATGTGAAGAGTGACAGACAAAGAAATGGACCAAGATATAGATGGGGTCAAGTCCTAATCATCCTCCTTAGTTGTGTTACTTTGTTCAAGGCATTCGTCTTCTTTCAAAATCAGGTATTTTTTTTTTTGTCTTTTTTTTTAACTTTATTTTTTTAATTTTTAATATTTATTTTTCAGTTTTTGGCGGACCCAACATCTTTGTATGTGGTGCTGAGGATCGAACCCAGGGCCGCACGCATGCCAGGCGGGCGCGCTACCGCTTGAACCACATCCCCAGCGCTTTTTTTTTCTTTTAAATGAAAAATATTCAGAAATAAATAACCAAACAGAAGTAGAATAGAAACCTCCAATGGAAGAAATTATATTCCATTATTCCATTCACATGTGATTATGTCAAAATGAACCCAACTATTGTGTATAGCTATAACGCACTAATAAAAATTTAAAAAAAAAGAAAACAAAAAAGGAAAAATTCACAGAATGGTTGGGTCAAGAAAGAGAATCTATATTAATGTGGTTTTGTCTAATAGTACTATGAGAGATAACTGTAATAATTGTGCAGTCTTCCTTTCAATTGAAAAAAAAAATAACAGTTCTAAGCATGTGTTTTCCCAATGCTGGGTTGCCAGGCACATGCTGCAGATGGTAAGCAGCTTCTGCTCCTCCACTGAGATAACTGTTCTAGGGTAACTGTGTCTTTATCAGGATTGGGAAGGGCATGACCGACAAGTGGATCTAGAACTATAACTGACCTCCAGAGGCCTTTGCTTGACTTTGATAGAACTGTGACTTATCCACTGGGGCTGAATAATGCCTGCCGACCACACACGATCTCTCTTTTTTCCCCCTCTCTAATCCATGTATCTATATCTGTATCTGTAGATACATAGCTCTATCTGTATAAACTCATTTCTATACTTAATATTTTCTCTACTTTTCCTTTTTTGCTGTAAATGATACTTTCACTTATTGTCACTAAGTAGGAATACTCTAGAATGGCTAATAATCACACAAATGAAGATATTCATCTATCTCTTTATTGTCTCTCTATCTCTTCCTATCTCTCCATGTTAGTTGGCTTTCCTTCACTGTGACATAAATAGCTGAGATAATCAACTTATAAGGAGAAAAGGTTTAGTTTGGATCATAGTTTTGGAGGTTTTCATCCATGGTTGTTTAGCCCTGTTGCTTTTGGCAGAGGAAAGCAGAGGAGCTGCTCACCTCATGGTAGCCAGGAAGCAAAGAGAGAGGAGGAACAGGGTCCCAATATTCCCTTTAAGGGCATTTCTTAAATTTGGTAACCAATCCTTTAATATATGGCTTTCTGAAGCATACTTAAGATCCAAACTATAGCCTTATCCATTCATTTATCTGTCTAGCAATCTATCCACCCAGCTTTTCTTCCCCTATCCACTCAACCCTACCTGCTAGAATTTATCCTTTTTCTTTATCTCTTGCTTGTCTTTGGATCCAACCTGGAATAGAAAGTATGGCTTCCATCCAAGAAAGTGCCATTTCACTTGTTCTCAGCCAAGTGGCTGTCTAAATTTGGAGCTCACAAGATCTTGAGCATGTCTTTCAACCTTTGGGTGATTATCTGAACTCAATCCAAACCTTCATGCTTGAAGACTCTGCTATTGTTAATTATGGCCCCTGTTCACTGCTGGTCAGCTACCACACTGTTTTCATTCTGCCTGGGAAATGACCCTGTACAAATTCCCTGGATTGTTTAAAACCAGCTGCATGGCAGAGGCTGGTTGATGATGGGTGAAGTAAAGAAGGTGGATAGAGCTTTCAGCTCAGCCTACCCTGGATCAGAGCCAGAAGAGCCCGGCTTTGCATAAACTCCACTGCATTTCACCTGAAGAACAGCTCTCCCTGACC